CAGGGTAGAGCACATCGTCATGGAGAATCGACTCGAACAAGTCGTCTTCATTATCAGCTTCAAACGGAGGCTGTCCGGCCATCATCTCATACATCAGCACCCCCAGGGCCCACCAGTCCACAGAGGCTCCGTACTCCTGCTCCTGCAGGATCTGAATTCAACAACATGACACAGTTTTACATGGAGGACAAACGATGTTTTAACAGGGACCTATGTGACACGCTGCAACATAGGTCCACTGGCGCAGAGGACTTTATTATAAAACATTGCAGGAAATAAACATCCCTAAACAGGATGGACTGTTTAAGTGGTGTAGTTGGTAGAGAGAGCAACCCCTAAACAAAGACTCTTGGAAAACCCTATTTAAATGTTATCAACAGCAGAAGTGGAGAAAGAGATTAAATGAATGTGAAACAGACATGCATCATTCTGTAGCGTGAACAGGTAAAGTCACATTAAGCTAAATTTATGTTTTGCAGGAGTGGAGGAGGACTTTAAGTTAGTATATTTCAGTAGAGACATACTGTACATTAAAAGTTAAAGTCCTGAATCTAAAAATTTACAAAGAAAAGTAAACTAGTATTAGCAGCAGCAAGATGTACTCAAGCATCAAATGTAAAACTACTCAGTCAAGAAAAGTTTAGGAAAAAAGAAGAAAATAAAGGCATAAAATACAAAATAGAAAAATACAAGGTAAATTATAAATGAAAAGTGCTTATGTCTTGACCAATTCTCTGAATGTCTTTATAAATTAATGCACAGAAGTTACTGTGTGTCACCAAAGTACAGTACAGAGGCCTCTGTGTCTGATTTACACCCAGTTTGGGCTCAAAGCACTGTTCAGTTTCTAAATGTAATAAAGAAGGTTGAAAAAGTGAGCAAGTTCTTGTCAAACATAATGTATCCACATTTTTTGAATGGGAAGAAATTTTGGTGTGTGCAGTGTGCACAAGGCTCCACAGAGCAGAACAAAAACATCAGAACAATGCGGCCATAATATATAAAAACAAAGATCGTGTGGACTTTGAGGAGAACATCCTGTGGGCTGGCTTCAGCTCACCTCAGGGGCAATGTAGTCAGGTGTGCCACAGAAGGTGGTGGTGGTCACACTGTTCATGATGCCCTCTTTGCACATGCCAAAATCTGCCAGTTTACAGTGTCCCTCTGCATCCAGCAGGATGTTGTCCAGCTTCAAATCCCTGAGAGAGAGAAAGACACACAGACAGAGGAGCAGAGAGGGAGAGAGAGAATTAGCACCATCTGGTTTCCGCAACAGTTGGGCTCACTTGGATATGTGATCATACAATGTAGAAAAAAAATACATGAGAACCACCATGTAAGGCGATTAAAGTGTGAAACAAGATGTCATGCGCCTTCTGCTGTGTTTCTGATGAACCATTTATGAAATTCCTTAATAGTCCTTGATTTCTTCAAATAATGTATCAAACTCTCCAGACTTTCCGGTCATGATTGACTTCTTAAACAAGGCAAATAAAAACTCTATGAGATACATCTTCCTCAAAATGTTTTTCCTAAATCCTAAAACAGTTTAGGTCCCCTTGGCTGAAAAACATAATGTGGTCCCATTTACCTGTAGATGACTCCATTACGGTGCAGGAACATGAGGGCTGAGGTGACTTCGGCAGCGTAAAAACGAGAGCGAGGTTCATCGAACTTCCTGGATCTCTGAATCTGAAACATCAGGTCTCCACCATTCACATATTCCATTACAAAAAACAAACGGTCCTGCAGAAAGAAAGGGGGAGAAAGAGAGGGAGAGAGAGGTATGAGACTGAGAAACCACAGACTACCTTTCGAGATTTGCATGTGCGTGTTGTCTGCTGGCCCTACCCGTGTCTGAAAGCAGCAGTAAAGCTGGGTGAGGTAGGGGTGTCGTCGGGCAAGGGCCAGGATTCGCTTCTCGGTCATGGTGCAGTCCACGTCATCGTCCTGCAGGATCACATCTTTCTTCAATACTTTGACGGCGTAAACCTCCTCCGTTCCCTTCAGCTCTGCCAGCATCACCTGGAGGGAGAATACAGGGAGGGGGTGGAGGTGAAAAAACAGGAACGTGGAGGGTAAGAGACAGAAAAAAGGACAAAGGAAGCAGCAGAGGAAGGAGCGAGGAAACAGAGAAGGAAAGTGATAGGAAGTTTGAACAAGAGGAATGGAAGGAGTGTGGGAAGAAAGCAGAGTGTATAAATTCACAGCTATTCTGTAGTAAAATGTAAAACAATGAAGTCGCAACTCCACACTATGATGAGTCTTACATTTATCCCTGAGTGAATAAAGTGCATATACTGTGCACTTTTCATATTACCAAGACAAAAGGTGTTAACAGGACCTCCTATCTGTATTCTACAATTAGTGCTGATTTGTATTTGTAGTAAAAGGTACTGGATGTAGTGGAGAAACTATAATGAGAGTTAGGCTGGTCCCTGATATTCCCTGACATTTCCAAATAACTCAGCAGTTATGACTAAAGGGAAACTTAGTGATGAACAGGGTGTTAAAAGACCAAATAAAACAGTTTCAATTATAAACATAATGAGCAGTAAATAGATAAACATCCCCTTCAAACACCTCCTCTTTGCCATCGCACCTTGCCAAAGCTGCCTTTGCCAAGAACCTTGATAAAGTTAAAGTCCTTGAGACTCCTCCTCTGGCTCTGTCCGTTCTCCCTGCCGGTCGTGGAAGAGGACGAGGAGGTGGTGGAGGAGGAGGAAGAGGAGGAGAAGGAGTCCTGGGGTCCCTGCTGGTCGAGTGACAGCGTGTCCTGCAGGCGATCTAACTCTGCCAAGTCTGTGGGTGTCATCGGAAAAGCACATCAGACATCAGAGAGAAGCAGCTAACTGCCTTTTTTCCTGTCAGTGTTTGGCTCGTTATGCAAAACGAGATGTTACTCATTATTTATTACTTCTGAATAAACTTTCCCTCACAACCTTGGATGGCTCAGTTACAGTATCTCTGACCAGGGTGAGTAAAAGGCAGCAGTGGCCGGTGTTGCTGTCATCATCATTTGGCTCCGTACAACAAAAAGAGAAAGTTAACTTTCATTTCTCAGCTTGCAAAGTGTGAGAGGATGATGACTAACTGTGGCAACCAAATGGTGGTGGGTGGTGAGGGATAATTCAAGTTTAGTCTCAGATCTACAAGGACAATAACAGATTTAAGTACCTTGTTTAAAGCAGAAACAATATTATTACTGAAATCGAAGTACTATCTCGTACTGGTAAAATGATCACATGAAAACCACATGGTGTTAAGAACGCATCTCAAAGGGCTTTGAAATGTCTACATGTTTGTGTCAAATCTGTTTGTTGTTCATGTTATGGTCAGCGTTACCCTGCTGTGAGGGCGAGGTGGGAACAGCTGGCTGGCTGAAGCTGTTCTCCTCAGTCTGGGAGAGCTCAGGAGGAGACTGGGGAGGGTCCTGCCCCGGAGTCAACTGCAGAGAGAAAAAGACCATATGGACACTTCTTTGGGCTTGTCTCTTAAAACTTGAATCTTGAGTCAGAGGAAGCTGAATCTCAGTTTCTCAGTTGATATATGGGACTATTTCTCCCATATACTGTTCTCCGTGGAATAAAATCTTGAACAGGCTAAATATTTTCAATCCATGCCTTTTTTTAACTCTTGGAAGCATCCTAAAGAGTGAGATGTGAAGACTGTTACCACTCTCACATCTGTACAATATAAAGTTAATGTGAGCAGTCAGTTAACTTAGCTTTGCTAAGACTGGAAACGCAGGGAAAGAACTCGCCTATCTCTCTTTAAAGGAAACAAAACCCACCAACCAGCACCGCTACAGAGACAGAAGAGTCGGCTGTCACTGGGCTCTGGTGACACTGTAGTCCTGGGGTTGTGTTGTATTGAGCTGGACAGATCTGGTGTATACGCTGTACTGCATGCTGCACATTTCCTGTTGTGCAGCTTGTTAGTGAGTTTGAACTTGAAGTCCCAAGTTCCAGGCACAAGAGGTGCAGTACTCTAAATGTGAAGGTGGAACACCAGCATCCTTGCTGACAGACTGCTCTGCTGTGAATGAGATGTAGCTCCCTGCTAATAGAGCTAGCTTGGTCCCCTAACAGGTAATCAAATCTCTAAAAACATTGGAACTAATTTCTAAATTGGCTTTACTTGGATAGAGTGGCCATCTATTTTTAATCTAAGAGGTAAATTGTCGCCTGAAAAAAAGTCAAAGCTCAATAAAGTGGCATAATGCCAGTTCTAGGATGAAAATGATAACAGCTTTGAACCTGGCTCACAATCTGACTGGCTCTCACTCGGTTGTTGCTGAATTCCGTCACAGCGTATTTGCATAAGTTGTGCTTTCACTTTACTGGGGTCCAGTCCAATTCAGAATAGATTTTAAGCTTCTGTTGTTAGTTATTAAGGCACTAAATGCTTTAGTGCCATTGAAACTTTCTGAGCTTTTGCACCCCACACTTCCTGCAGAGCTCTCAGGTCCTTAGACCAGAGGCTTCCTGTTACTCCGAGGTCTGCACTGAAACTTAGAGGAGATCATGCCTTTGCAGTAATGGGTCCCAAGCTGTAGAATAGCGCAACATTATGTAATCGAAGCAGCACCAACTACTTGGCTTTTAAACCTGGTTAAGATACTAGTTTTCTTATATTTCTCATGTTTGTCTTGTATTAGTCATCATTTAATGACTGATGTACAGCACTTTGGTCAACGCCTGCTTTAAATGTGCCTACGAATAAATCTGAATTGACTTGACTTGATTTTGACTGTCTCGCACAGCAGGGTGTACAGCGCCTGGTTTCCACTGACAATGAACGGGCAGCTATTGCTGGCCCAGAGTTCTATCTCCATATGTGTAAAGCTTTGTAATTAACATCTTTAATCTACAGTATATGTCTATGCTGGTTGCCTCACAACCTCATGACAACAACAAGACTTCATGAAGTTGCTGCGTCCTGACGAGAAAAGTGCAACATAAAATAAAGACCTGTCATGTGTACATTGATGTTTTTTGTATGGACTTGACAAACAAGATATAATGTGCTAATTAGTGAGTTGTAAAGGTGCTGTTTGGCAGATTAAGTTATAGAAAATACAGCCAACCAGTATATAGACAGTATCAAAGGTTCGCTTTGTTATGAAGACAAGTAATAATATTTAGTATATCTAAAAATAAAATTATCTGTCTATCAAATGAAAGAAATAGCCTTTTAAAAAGGAAACTAATCATCCTCCAAATATTCACATCGGTTGGTTTGGGCTGCAGGTAGAGCCCTGCAAATATGTGCTAATAAATGTGGAATGCCACAGTGAGAATGACTTGTTACCTTCCTCCGGCGTTGTGCTGTGTTAGAAATCTTATCAGGTGTGACCCCCAGGTCAGACAGGACCTTTGCGATTCCTCGGGCATCCACACCGCAGTTAGGAGCTACATTAGTCTCACACCGCCTGTGTACATTCATCTTACACACTGTAAAACAACAAGAACATACCAAAAAGTTCAGGTTAAAATTAGAATGGATTTCTGACTCAAAAACTGGATTTTTAATAAGGTTTTGTTGTATTTAAAGACATCAAACATTGCTCAATGTGACCAGTTGCAACTGATGTCCATCAATATACAGTAGAGTGTAAAAAGGTCTTTAAATATTTAAAAGATTAAAATAAATAAATTCCAGCTCCTGGAGGTTTCCTTTGTCATTATAGCAGTCTAAAACAAAAACATTTTTAATAATAAAAACACAACTGGAGGTCCCAGCAAGTATCTGACATTTTTGCTTGATTAAACAATTAATTTAATTATAGAAAAAATACACACCTAATGACAGATATCCACAGGATACATGTGACAGAATTTGTGCAGTATTACACATGATTTTCTCAATAATTTTAGAATATTTAAAAAATATCCTTTATCTTAGATGTGCTCTATAATAAATCACTTGTTCTTTGACCTAACATGTCACTAAATTTCTTTAAAATCTATTGTCACACAGAAATGCAAGCAGGGCCAAAAACATACAAACGTGTGCGTTAACATTTACTTCTAAGTAACGGTAATGAACCTAAAGTGTTTTTACAAATTGAATAAATGTTTACTGCACCATTTTGCTTGGGTTATAATGACCCTTTGTGTACCCGCTGTACGTGAACTCACCTTTGCATTGCAGGCCCTGCCTCATGAGGCCCCACAGCAGGGAGCCACAGTGGTCACAGAAGGTGGGCACCTTGTAGTTGTGGATACTGAACTTGTGGGGCATGTTTACACTGAAGCGCTGTGAACCCACCTACAGAGGGAGACACACACACAGCATTACAAAGAGGTCACTGTGACGTCACTGGAGGAATCGTGCATGAGGCTCAAGTGTGTGTACACGGTGTACACATGCTGGCCTGAATGGTGAATGTCTCTGTTCATATTCAGCGTGTGTGTTCCAGTATATTTACATGTAAGTATTATGTACTGTAATTAGCTGTTCATTATAAAGTAACAAATACTAAAGGGCACACGCTTATATGTGCTTTTAAAAAACACAGTGGTCCTCTCATTTATACGTACAGTATATACTCAACAGAATGTGCACTTGGTTGCGACTGTTTCTACCTCCTCAGGTGTGTCCTCCTGTTTCTTCATCCCGGCACACTTGGTGATGATGAGCTCATGACAGCGCTTGTGGACGACACACGTACACACTAGAATCACAGCATCAACATCAGGCATTCACAAATCCTGATCAGTTTGATCAAATACAGCTCCCTAGTTGTGTAGTGAGCAATAAAGTACCTGAACAAGTAAAGTAACATTCTGACTAGCTGCAGTCTTTTTGGCTGTTTGCATCCACTATAGAAAAGGGAACACGTCCTGAGAAATGATATGCTCATGAGCATTTTTACTACTACTAATACGCTATGTGGTTGCTGCTGTAATGCAGTACATTTATGACTCTAAGAGATGGTGGCTTGAGACCAAATCACAGCCACCATTCAGCAACAAGCAATGCTTCTTGTGTTCTCATGCTTTAATAATAAATGATGTGCAGTGTTACTTGAGAAATTGGATTCTGCCAGAGAAAAGTACTCACCCTGACATTGGTATCCCTGCTTCCCCAGCACGCCCCTATCACATCACACACAGACGAGTCAGTATTTCAGCCAGGCTGGGTTAACAAAAAATAACAGCAGGCCGATATGTGTGTGTGTGTGTGTGTGTGTGTGTTTCGTACCAGATAAAATCTCTACAATGTGAGCAGTAGGTTGGTTGTCTCAGGTAGGTGGCCATGAACTTGTGCCCATTGACTTGATGGACACGTCTCCGGACGGCGCCCTGTCGCCGCCGAGGACCGATCCTCTCTCGAAACACTCGCTCCTCATTCTCGTTTCCAGAGGCTGTTGGGTGAACAGACACAAGTTTTTCAAAACAAAAACTGCACAGAGATCAGAATACATTTCAGATAAGGATTCATACACATCACAATGCTACAGATATTTCTTATCCCATTAAAGAAAGTTTGTACAAATAAGGATCATTAGCATCACGTTGCTTGAAATGGTTAATCATTCAACAGCTTCTCATCTTCCTTTTCCCCCTCCTTCCGTCTTTCTCACAAACACCCCACACCTACCAGCGGCCTATGCATATGTACATGTGTGTGCTATTTATAAATTCATGTGTGGGCACTAAAACGAAGGACAGCATATTAAAATATTCCTCCTCAGCAAGCACCATCCAACCAGCCATTCCCTTCCTCTCTGCATCCCCCCGGAAAGATAAATGCTTTCCGAGGGTAACCTTAAGACAAGAGAACCACCTCCACTCTCACTCCCA